AGAGTTCACCTACTGCTGGCATGACGACATCATGCAGGGTGAGCACGTGTGTGTGTGTGAGACAACGAAGGAGATTACATTTATGGTCATTTGTGTCACACGGCCAGCCTGCTTATGTCTGATCCCATCCTGTCTGTGCAGCTATCTTTCACATAGCCACACTGATGCCAAACAGAGAGAGCGACAAAGGCTGCTGCAACAAGAAGCGTCACATTGGCAACGATTTTGTCATGGTTGTATACAACGACTCTGGAGAGGAGTACAAACTGGGCACCATAAAGGTACACACACACCTTTTCATAAGTTTCTCAAATCTGCAGTATATATTGAATTGAACTGTGAAGTTGAATGAAAATGATGTGGCCATTTTGAATTTGATGCCAGCAGCACTTTGTACTTTAGCAAATTGAGGAGAAGAAATTGTGTCATTTTGAAAAGAGGAATGTTTGACTATTGTTGCTTTATGTAAGATTTCAGCTGTTCAATTGTTCAGGGTCTCCTTTGTCTTATTTGTTGAGCTGCATAATGCTCCAAACATTTTCAGTGGGCGCCAAGTCAGGACTGCATCAAGGCCAGTTCATCACCGTATTTTGTTGTACTGAATGCAGAATGTTGTTTGGCATTGTAATAAGCAAGGCCGTCCTTGAAAAAAAAGTTATCTGTTTGGCAGTTATTGTTGCTCAGAAACCTGTGAATGGTTCAGCAGTAATGGTGCTTTCACAAAGGTTACTCATGTGCACTCACTGATAACAAGCTGGATGGTCCCTCTCCTCTTAAAGCCAGGGAATGAAGCATCCAGGACATCAAACACAAAGTGACATTTTGACTCCCGCAGCGTCGTCAGCGGCATATGAATGTGTAATGGGATTAGTTATTTCTGATAGTCACTTTACACAGCAGCCTCTGTCTTCAGTGTGTGAATGTGTAGGTGTGAATGTGTAGGTGTGACCTGCGGGTGTAAAAGCACTTTGAGTAGTCAGAATACTAGTAAAGCGCTATACAAGCTCAAGTCCATTTCCAATTTTACCAAGGTGTTGTCTTTGTTCAGCTTTCATGTTTATATTGTGTTTCAATGTTTTGCTAATGAACACATCCAGTTTGTTTCAAACTCAGCATCCAAACTTTTTACTAATTGGGTCATTAAAATGTCTGACTTTTTTTTCCTCCCGTTAGGGTCAGTTCAACTTTGTAGAAGTCATCATAAAACCTCTCGACTTTGAATGCAACCTGGTCACCCTCCAGTGCCGCAAAGGTGAGCTGATCACTGTCTTATCTCTTTTCTTTGTCAGCGTTTTCTTTAATATTCTTCATTAAAACTTCTCTTGCTTTTCTTTTCAGACCTGGAGGGGTTGGTGGACACAACCGTGGCAAAAATTGTCTCCGACCGCAACCTTCCTCTTTTAGTCAGACAAATGGCTCTGCATGCGAATGTAAGTCTCTTTCTTATGCCTCACACACACACACACACACACACACACACACACACACACACTCTCATACACATACTTAACTGTTCTTTGTGTGACTTGCAGATGGCCTCTTTGGTGCACCAGTACAGAGCCAACCCTTCAGATGCTTATGCCTCTAAGTGGTTAGCGAGATTACGACACATTAAGAGGATCCGGACCAGGGTAAGAAGCATCACAAAGAAAAGAGTTCTTTTGGCCACACTACTTTAACTCACATTGATTTCCTCTCGTGAATCTAATCCACCTTGCCATCTCTCTGCTCCTGCTCAGGCTCAGGAGGACATTCAGTCTCGTTCGACGCCCGGCATCTCGCTGACTCAAGGACACACTCAGCAGAACAAGTCATTTCAGCAGAGCACTCAAGCAGCAAACCCCGAGGCCTCAGGGCAGAGGAAAAGACTTGTATCAACAGTGGATGATTTCACTGATTTTGTTTGATTACATTTGTTGTCCTGGTAAACACACACACGCGCACGTGCACACCTGCCTTAGAGCTGAGGTGACTGTATTTTCACCTCTTGGCGTGGAAGAATTCAGGAGGACACACTGATTTTGACTTCAACAGATTGGTACTTTGTATTGGAAGAATGAGGAGGTATTACAAAGGCATATTTTGTGACGAAGTATTGATATGCAAAGACTAATTTCTGCATATTTTTCAAAACTTTTGAAACGCTAATGCTTTGCACTTTTGAGAACTAATCGTAATGTTTCTGATGTGCAACATGAGATGAGCAAAGTTGTACACACACTACATTTGAGAGCAGGATGTGTTTGTATGTAAATACATGTGTGCAATAAAAAGGATTGATGTTTGGATTCAGCTCTCGGTGAGATCACTTCATGTTAAAACAATCAACATGCAGGAGAATCATAACAAAGTATTGGATTTTAGAATCGGACACCCAAACCATTTTATTATGCACAGTTCAGCTGTCAAACTCTTTATTTGACTTTGTCAAGTGCAAAAGCAGGAGAAGTGCTACAACTGCAAAATACATATTTGAGATACAAAGAAGAGCGAAGACAAACACTCAACAATGCATTTGTAACACAATTTAAACAAAAAGCATCAGGAAAGAGACAGGAAGCTGGACTTTGGCACCGTGTTGTTACACACAGCAGGAGTATGAAGTCTAGTAAAGCATGAATGAAATGTGTGAAGCGCTTTGGCTGTAAAGTTTAAGTTAGAGTGGAGAAATGGAAATCTTTGGGGTTGGTAACACCAGTGCTTGACCTATGCATATGCTTCTGCAGCACATAAACAATACTGATCATGAAAAGCAAAAAAATATAAATACACCACAAAGCACCAACATATACAGAAATGTACACCTACAGATGAAATATCGGTTTCCATTTATTTTCAGGAAATCCTGACGCGTCACAGCCCATGCAACTCATCGGGCAGGAAAAGATAGAAGTCATGATTCAATGTTTGGATTTGAAAGGACAAAAAGCCTAAAACACACTTCGGCATGCTCGTTAGTACCTGCAGCATTCTGCTTTTGTTTTAGGAAAGTTTTACTCCGTCCAGTTTTTGGCTGAGAGAAGGGCGAACATGAAGTCTGGGAGAATTTGAACACAAGATGAATCATTGAATTCCTAAGAACATTTTAAACCCCCAGTTTTGGTGATCCTGGATGTCTTTACGGGGTTTTGGGGGGAAAGGGGGTGGATTCCCTGAGATCTGCCCACTAAACACAGGAAGTACATATGTTAATCAAAATAAGACGTTTGGGGGAAAAAAACACAGTAAGATTAAATCGACCAAGAAAAAAAAATACAACTGCTAGCGACGGCCGTAACACCTTGATAATACTTCAAAAACATTTCTATTATGTAGCTGTTAACATATGATATGAACACTTGACACATGGGAGTTAAATATGGCATTGGATATCATACCATTAGGAAATAAAGTGCTAAGTACAAAACGAATGAATGAATTTCATGGCATGGTAACACTCAGAATGCATGAAGGACGCAGAAGCTTTGGCAACGTTTATAGTTAAGATACAGTATGAGTGAAGCTCTCTCTAGCGGTGTAAGACACCAAGCTTATTACTTTGCACCACGCCTCACCAAAAAACAAAACAATTTACACCAGAACAAAAGTGCTTTTACATTACAACCTTATCAACACAACAAATACAAAAAATATATATTTTCAAAAGATCATCAGACTTGGAGTCATTATAGCTTCATGATGGGAAAACTTGCATACATGTTCATGTCGTAAGTGAAGGCACTTCCTACCTGCTTCCAACTAAACTTCCCTTTTTCTTATTTCTAATCTTCTGTCCGTTTTCCTGCAGACACTCCTGCGCTTTCTTTTTCTGCACTTCAACCACATGTTACAACTTCTTATCTTTTTTTTTTTTTTACTCCCCTTCATCTGTAGATGTTTCGTTTGAGGATGGTAATATATGCACCCTGAATACCTGGCTGCTAGGATCATCAACAACCCTATGTGTGTATTTGCATACTTCATGATGTTCGCTCCTGCACCTCAGCAGGTACAATACAATGAGCCCATCTGTGCCTACAGTGTTATGTCTATGCATGTGTGTACCTGCATGTGCGTATATCTATGCACTGCAAAAACTCCAATCTTAGCAAGAGCATTTGTCTAATTTCTACTTTTAAAATATTTTATTACACTTAATACAAGCCGCATTCACCTGACAAGTCCAGATAAATCTAATTTCAAGATATAATAAGCAAAAAAAACAAGGTCTAAATTGCTTACAATAAATCAAATAATCTGCCAGTGCAGCTAACTCATTTGACTTGGTTTGTGCCTTGAAGTGAGATGTGTTCATTTAGATGGTACATCTCCCTTCTAGACACTAATCTGCACTGGCAGATAATGTTACTTCAGGCCTTATTTTTTTCTGTGAATGTTTTTGAGTAAAAATTAGATGAAAGATTTGAGTTTTTGCAGTGTGGGTTATAAAAACATGACTGTTTTCAGACAGGTCACGAGTACCCATGGTGACCAAAATATAAAAATATGTAGACAGACAACATAACTGAGATATCAACACAATTCTTCTTCTGGGATAAAAAAAAAAAAAAAAGACTGATTGCATTGTCTGCATTTCAGTTGGTTTGGTCCTCTGGTGAGCACGTGCATGTGCTCCTGTCAGTGACCCCACAAGACCACCAGGGTCACATGGGATCAGTTTTAGTCTACGGAAAAGATATTAAGGAATAGTTCCTGGTTTTCGTTGTAGGCCCTTACTTGCCTGACCAAAACCAATCTAGTTACCATCTGGTGACCTGCACCTTGTTTCAGAGAGAACTGAACTGGTATTGGTCAGAACACTGCTTATAAACCTGCATAGTTTTATGTTACTGCTTTTTTTTATATCTTTCATATCAGGAAATGGGGGCAAAACCTGCTGCCCCCGTCTTCCTTATGTCCTTAACTCAGCATTTACTCTTTAATACATTTTCTCCGCCTTATTTTTCCTCTGTTCAGAGTCCTCAAGGTTTTGGGTGTCCAGGGCCCTGCCTGTCTAGATTGGGATGCACCTTGTTTTTGAGGGGTGGGGGTTTGCGTTTTCGCTTGCGTGTAGGTATTGTGGTTGTGTGAGCTGGGTGGTTGAACAGGCTGGAGGAAGGGAAGGTCTCTCTCTCCGTGGGCGGGTCCCAATCCCCACCTACTGGCGTAGGGGCAGGGGTAGAAAAAGAAGAAGAGGTTGGTGCAGGAGTGCATGGAGGTGCGGTGGGTGTTTTGGGTAGTGGGACACGTGAAGGGGGAGTGTTCGCTGATGAAACGGGAGAGGAAAAGCCAGAGGCAGATTTATCTTTGACTGGTGTAGGCGGAGGTGCACTAGCTAAAGGTTTGGTTGATGATTGAGGAGCAGGGGTTTGTGTAGTAGCAGGGGAAGGTTGAGGCTTTATAAGGGGAGCATGTGTGGCTTCTGTAGTCTTTTTGGGGTTAGCAGAGGTGTTTCCACAGTCTTTTCTAAGTTCACTTTTATCTGTCTTTTTCCCCTTTTTGCTCCCTTTTTGTTTTTCTTTGCCAGTTTTTCGATCTCGCCATCCAGTAGCGTCCTTCTCCTCTCCTTTTGCTCTATGCCCTGCCTCACTTCTCCCTCCCTGACCACCACCATCTCCCTTCTCCCGCCCTCTACTCCTCTTTTTTCTCTGGGATCGCTCCATTTTACACTCCACGTGGTAAAGATCCTCGGTGGCAATAGTGACACGGTCAAGCTGTTGCAGAAGGGCGTCCAGGGTAGGAAGGAGCCTCCTCAGAGAGGCTTCGGTCTCAGCTCTCTCCCTCCAGCTGGTACTTCCCATCACCACTCCTGGGCCAAGCCCCAAACCGAGGCCCAGCCCGAGTCCCAGGCCGATTCCAGGGGCTTCTGTCAGGCTGCAGGGGCTAGAAGAAGTAGGGCGCCACGAGGCCTCAGAACCTCCATCAACGCTGTCTGGGGTGGAAGGGGAGTCAGGACGGTCCAGTGGTGGCAGGCACAGGGACTTACAATCGCTGGTAGAAGACGAACGAGATGGTGGTAACTCCATGCCCTCAAAACGCACCTTATGACGAAACTAAAGAGGATGAAGGACAAATGAAGAAATGAGGTGAATACTGTGAAAGCAACCCATTTTTTTCTCTATAAAATCATGGTCAGATAGCAAAGTGTGAAAGTATTAACGGTTTTCGCTATGACTCAAATGTACCTCCTTGGCCCTGCTGAGCCCCATCCACATTTTGAGCCGTCGCAGGAACAGCTCAACCATCTCATAGTCTTGGAGATCCCCGGCGGGACGGTACAGCTCCGCTCTTGCACGGCGGTAGTTCCTCAGCAACACAGATGTGAGCAACCAAAGCAACACCAGCCGAAGTATGGCAAAGCTGGCATGGAACATCAATGAGGTCACAGTGTTGGAGGGACCGGTAGTCATCCAGGTGGGACGCCATGACAGAAGACCACGTCCACCAGCACCCAACAGGGACTGACTGGCAGAGCTCACACTGCCGTAGCCGTCCAATACAGAGTGGAAGAGCTGAAGAGGAGAAGATAGGATGAAAAGGTTAAACATTTTACCACATAAGGAGCATAAGACAAGTCGGAAACAGTTAACACAAGACAAGAAAAAGAAAATTCCAACACATTAGAGTATATCTATGCTTATACTTATATGTTAGATTAAAGAGTGGGCGGTAGTCATTCAGGCGTCCCACCTGGCGTCCCACCTGGATGACTACTGGTCTCTCCAACACTTCAACTTTTTCTTGTATGCTTAGTATGTAAATGTATTTTTTTTTTTTTAAATCAATTTTAAAAATTGAGTCATGACAAACAAAAGCAGAAACATACTTAATTTGATGAAAATGTTTGAATATTTGTTTGGAAATAGAGATAGACTTGATAACTGTCAGTGTTTTTAATTGGAAGAAAGTGATGAACAATCAATCTCAAGTTGTGACATTCAAAAGAAACAATAAATCACATCAAATAATAGAAGATGTATCGCGTTGACATAAAGTCGACCATATAAAAAGAACTAAAATGTTTCTCCACAGATCTGTAATCCGTCAGTGAAGTGTTTGAAATTACACTGCAGACAGGAGTCTCTGTTAAATAGACAAACAGACTTGATTTGTGTTCTTTAACAAACCAAACACTTTGAATTTGCTTTAAAACATTTTAAGATAACCACATAAATAACGCTGAAAATATTGATTGTTTTTCTTTACTATTTTTCATCTTTTTCATTTTAGTTTCTCGCCTTTTTAACTGTTTTACTGTATATGAACTTCCTGTTTTATACTTGCTTTCTCTTGTTGTTTGTGTTCATGTATATGTGTGTATCATGCCTCTTCTCTATTGTTGTCTGTACCTTGGCTTCATTGCAATTGAGGGTTCTCCCTGTTATGGCTGTATGTTGTTCCCTGTGCTGTTTGTTCCTTTTCCCCTTCTGTTTCCAGCCTCTGTGAAGTTACTGATCGCACAGCGAGTCGCCCCTGGCCTCAGTGCTTTATAGCCCAGTGCTGAGTTGAGGAGGAGAGGCTTTACGAGTTAGGACTGCTGTGCCCCTCAGCCAGGGATTGTGTGTTGATGTGTTTAGTTAAATTAGTATTTGAGTTGATCTTGGTTTAATGATTTAGTCTTTCTGTTCACAATAAATCCCTTTGTTTTTACTTTGGTGAGGTCTATGGTGTTTTTTATTGGGTCGATTTGGGGCGTAACACTCCCTCAGTGTTCCGAGGATTTAAATAAATAAATAAATGATGATGAAGATGATGATGATGATATACACACTTAATACTGTGCTGTACTGGAAGGGCGTCACATCTCTCATCCCTGTTCTTGTGCCAGATGGTCTTTGGACGTGATTTATCCTGTATTTTGTTTTGTGAATGAAAAGCGCATGCTGGTATGCAACCAAGACCAAGTCTGAATGTGGTCTGAACTGATTCACATCTGTGCTCAACACATGTTAACACCAGCTGTACCTTAGGCTTTACTCTGAATGACTCAAACCATTTATTTTATTTTATTCTGTTTTTCCTTGACCGTGCTGTTTGGCAGCATAGTGGAGGCAGTGATGCTGCTTTTATAGTTCTTTCTAACAATGACGATGAAGCTGTGCTATGCTCTCTGTGCTAAAGTGAAGGTTTCTACAGAAAGGACTGAAGGCATGAAAATTTAGCTATGCATTACAAGTGAACAAACATGTGGCTTGGCAGACTTTTATAGTATTTTATAGTAAATCTTATATAATGTTCATGTTCTGTCTGTGTGTTGTGTAAGGGTTTTGTTAAGTGTGTGTGCGCCTGTGTGTGTGTGTGTGTGTGTGTGCGTGTTAGAGGAGAAGCGAGAAGAAAACAGAAGGAATAGTAAAGGGAAAAGTCTGACCAGGTGTCCTGTGTGTGAGAAAGCCAGCACCAACAGCAGTAACGCCAGGGCGACTCCCAGCAGCTCCCAGACCGAGCAGCGCAGAGCTCTGCCAAACACGGCCCACTCTCTGAGGAACCGCAACTGGTGGGAGGCCTGGATGAACCACAGAGAAAGGAAGAGAGAGAAGAAGAAAGAAAGAAGGTACAAACGTGATATCAGGATAGTGCACTGATTTTGTTATCAACCTCATAGTAATAACAACTTGATCATATGAAATCATTTGTTATGAAGACAAACATCGTTTTTAAAGTCTTCAGTTATTTGTTTTTCAACAGGTACTGACACTGGTTCAGTGACAAAGTGAAAAGTGAAAAACACTGAACCAGGAAGTCATTCTTTGTTCGGATTAGGCTTTAATCTTTGTTTATTTTCCTCATTGAGACAGGTCCCATGAAAAGTCCAAACCTGCAACGTGTAAGCTTTACTTTTTAAAATGTATTGTTTCAAATTTAAAACCTGAAGCTTTTGAAACTGTTGGTCAGTTCTGTAGGAGTAGAGGGCGAAGGTCATACATACATCACGTAGGAGCAGGGCAGACACACTCGCTCAAATGCCTCAAAGCGTTTTTATCAAATCACAATTAGAACATTTTGACCAGAGACACATTAAAAAATGATGACCTGAAGAAGACCCCTAATCAAAATGTTGTTGTTTATTGTAATGGAATAAAAAAAAAATAGTTGCATTTGAGCATGTGTGATGGGCGGGCATAGTTTGTTCCTCACTTCAGTACGGAGCCCTTAAAGGGATGGTTATGTGTTTTAAAGTGGGGATGCGTTATTTGTCAATAGTAATTGTAAAAGCCACAGGAGACGCTGGTCAGCTGGTACCCTTTAAGGAGAGACCGGCTGGAGTGACGGCTATGCAGACAGGGGTTGTTTGCACCACGTCAAAAAAATAAAAATCACGGTTAATTTATGGGAATTCTCAGCACTGTCAGCAAGCGACTTTATTTTGGCACTACTTCGGTTCACCACACGTGTTCTTCAGCCTGCAGTGCACTGATGTGCTGTTTGTATCTATAGTACAGCTCCACATGAGTTTTGCTGAGTAGACTGATCATTTTTTCAACAGTGGCGGCTGATATACCGATACAAAATGAGTTTCAAATCTCTAAACAGCTTTGCACATGTGTTATGAAGAATGAAACAGCTGCAGAACGAACGACGCACATAAGTAACGATGAGTTTGTTAACACGACCACTCCAGAGGTCACCTTTAATTACATTTCTGCCCTCGCTGATTAGAAGAACTTAAAAACATGAGGGCCAACGTCTGGACTTTCTCTCTCACCTTGAGCACGAGGATGAACAACAGCAATGCAGACATGACGGTGTACATCTGACTCTGTCGGGCCAGAGGGTAGAAGTCTGTGAAGGCGTCCCGTGGGTGCTTCAGGTAGGACGCCCACTGCTGCGATGCCATGGTGCAGCGGCTCAGGTGTAGGCCGCACACAGATGCCGCCAGAGTCAGTTTGCAGATGCCCAAGAGCCTCCAGGCTGAGAACAAGTACACATGGCCTTCTCTGAGGAAGCCCAAGATCCCCCGAACCAAGAAGTACAAGACCAGCGCCATGAGGATGGTCTGAGAGACAGGAAACGAGAATGTTAAGTCCCTTTAATGTCACTTAAAAAAATAGGAGAAGGATTCAACAGTAGGTTTGTGTAAAGCTTTTCTTGCATAAACGTGATTCTTCTAGATAAATCTGGAGTTGTGGATTTTTCTGATCTGGGGAGGTGACCTTTGTGAATCATGGATAACGATAAAAAAGAAAGTGGGTCAAAAGCTGCTTGGTGAAATAAGGACAATTTCATCGACAGGCTAAAATGTGTGATGATACTTTCTTCAATTCTACGTATCTGTGCTCATGTTTGTGTTGAGCCTAAACTCAACCTGTTTAAGATCAACAGTGGAGAATCATGTGTTCATTTGCAGGCTGTGCAAGTATCATTCACTTTCAATTAGCATCTTTGTTCGTACATATTTTCATGAAATCATTCCTCCTGAGTAATTTTGTGAGTATATTATTTTAATACCCTCTCAGGGTCATTTTTCTTTTAGTTGAAAGAATAGTCCGCACACCAGAAGCTGCTCCAATTACATTAAATTGAATGGAAAAATTGCCACCTGTTTCGGGCCCTCGCTCTTCATCAGACATGATGCACAAAAAAATACATCTTTTATTGACAGAGATAAAAGGTATTTTATGGGGCTGTCATGAAACATGAATTCTTTTGTCAAAACAATTGTAATATATTTTTTTGAGATCATGTCTAATGAAGGGCGAGGACCCCGAAAGGTTACAGGTGGCAATTTTTCCATTGAATTAAATTTAATTGGAGCAACTTCTGGTGTGAGGACTATTATTTCTACTTTTGGATGTTTTTCTGTTCAGCACTCAGCACTTTAGTTTGTCGGATGTGCGTGCTTTATGATATTTTTGTAATTCTTGTTTTAGGTCTGTGTATATATTAAATATATATGTGTGTGTGTGTAAGACACCTCATAGCAGCAGATCTATATTTAGAGAGGAGCCAAGTGCTGTGAGCAGAAAAGGAAATATGATTTGCTGAGGCTGAAGAAATGAACATGTCTGACAGCTTCAAGTAAAATATAAGCAAGACTGGTAACAAACGTTTGTCAGCCATGTGTGTTCTGTTGCTGTTGTCTGACCTCGGCCGAATATATTCTAAAATAATCCACAGTCTGTCTCACGGTTTCATCATTGAACATTTACAAAAGAAACAACCCCCCCCCCCCCAACAGCCTTGTTTCTGTGTGTATTTGAAATGAAGGCTGTAGCCAGCTTTGATGTCACCGCGATGCAGAACTCGGCAGCAGTAACTGATAAGTAAGCAAGTAAGTAAGTAAGTAAGTAAGGAAGGAAGCTGGCATTGTTTTCTGTGAAAGGAGCTCGGAGTCAATAAGCAGCACAGCGCCCCTCTCTCTGCAAGTAAATGACTGAAACTTTCTCGCCTGCCTGACAGTATGTGTAAAAAAACAAGATCACATTCTGAATGATGTTGAAGCTATCAAAATGTTTACCATTCTTCAAGTGAACACAAGGGAAGTAGTAATTCCAGTCATGTAATACAAAACAAACTACACATGGGCCACTTGTTTACATCCTAAAGCAATAGAATGTGTTCTCATTTCTTCAACATGATATTTACAGGTGCCACATGCATATTTGAAGTGGTTTAATGCAGAGATCATCATCTACATGAATCTTGTGTGTGTGTGTGTGTGTGTGTGTGTGTGTGTGTGTGTGTGTGTGTGTGTGTGTGTGTGTGTGTGTGTGGGGTTATTATTACCATAAGAAGGAGCTGCAGGTCCAGGCCTGTGATTGGCCACAAACTGATGACAAAGAGGTCAAAGCTGGACTGAGCACGCTCAGAAACAGGGAACTCAAACAGGAAGGAGAAGACAGCCAGGAGGTTTGTGTTGACGTTGTAGAGTGAGAACTCCACAAACAGAGCGCGAGTCCTTTGAAAAGACACAGAAAATAACGATCAGATCAGGAGTCAAGATATTATACACAATCACTTCCTTTGTTGGTAACCTCTCTCTTAGTGAACCAGTGTTCAAATATTTAATCTCGATTCATTTATTGAATTTATTGTATTGAGACAGTCCACATTAATCAACATATGAGCCATACAGGTCTATGAGCGTACGCTAGAATTAGCACAACAAGCTAGTTATTGGTTCCAGGAATGAGGGCCTCTGACCAGGAGCGGGTCCAGACTTTTTGGACTGGAGTGGCCCATCTGGGGCACTGACTTATGCAGGGGTGGCAGGAAGTTTGTGTTCACACACAAACGCCAATGAATTTGTTTTTGTTTACCCTTTCTATCCCCGCTAATGACATGTACTTGTAAGTAACGCAATTTGGCAACATATGCATCTTCTCAGCTTGTTAATTTTGGGACACAAAAACAAACATGTGCAAATTCACAATTTAAAGTACTGAATCATTTGCATGCAAACTCTCTGGGGTGGCCAATCACATTTCAAGGGGGGCCCATGCCACCCCTCTGGACACGCCCCTGCCTCTGACAAACACCACCATTTCACAAAATCTAGTTCTATCATTTCAGCCTCCCATCCTTTTTGCTCTGGTATTTTTATCCTTTTGTTTTGTTGTTGTTGTTTTCTGTTCAAATCGTTGCCTGTCTTCTTGAAGAGAGACCAGATGGCTCTTTAGTGTGTGTTATGTGACCAGGTTGAAAAAAGGGCTCTATTAAACTGAGTGTTATATTTCAAAGAGATTAAATAACTAAATAGTTCTGTACTAACGACACAGTGAAGTAACAGACCTCCACCAGTCATTTTTGAACACACATTCAGCTGCTCCCCTCTGCACATGTGTGATCTGATACTTTATTGGTATTAACAGGATTAACTTTGTCTTTGGCGTCCGTGTCCTCAGAACAATGTTGGATAGTGAACATTCCTCCCACATTCTTCGCTGGATTGTTTTTAATGTTTTATTTTAATATTAATTGTTTTCATCTGCAACTTTTCAATGACTGCAAGCTGGGAGATGAATTACACATTATTATTAATCCACAAGAATGCCTGGTGCTGTTTTATGCCGATCATTGTGAAACTGCATGCACACATTTGATCACATCTGGCCCCTTCATTCAAGCCAGTCAGCAAACTCCTTTTTTTAAAACATAAAAAACAACATAAAAGTTTTGATATATGTTGATATTGCCTTGATGATGTATAATCTATCTGGCAAGAACTACCTGTAGTCGAGCCAGTGCAGCTGCTGCAGCTGCTGTAAGGAGGACGAGGCCTCCTCCAGGCTTCTGTTCAGCTGTTGAACCACATCTCCGCTGTTATACACACTGATGGGATCCAAACGCCACCCCCTGGAAAGACAAGCGAGAGGGGGCACAGTGGAGAGAGAGAGAGAACATTGACACATTGAAGACCAGATGTTGAACAGATGCTGAAACTGACCTGAAAGTTAGCTTACAGCTAAGTGAAATGTCTCCTTACCATTTTGTATTGTTAGCTCCAAAAGCAGACACGTTCTCAGCGCCTTGACTCAGAGATTGTTCCTTTCCCTGATCACTCTCTCCTGCCCAGGAACCAAGAGCATCTAGAAAAGAGTTTCAACAAAACCAAAGTTCAAAGTTGTGTAGGTTCATTAAATGTAATGACATGGTGATGATAAAGTCTGCTGCAGAAGCTGTGATAATAAACATGAAACCTCTATGCAGTTAGCGGGTATAATTCAGAAAAGACAAACACACAGAAACAAAGAAATACTTCTCCAAAAACAAACGTTTTTTTTCATAACTGCAACTCAATCAATAAGTGAGTGAGGTTTTCTGTCAGTTCAGAGGCGTCTCTGTTTATTGACCACATTTCAGTCTCACCCTGCATGTCACGGATTTGACGGAGCCTCAGCGTGCCGAGTAACACACTGCCTGTGTCTCTCAAGAGGGCCGTGTCATCCAGTAGCCGTGGCAACAAGGACCCGTTCAGCCACAGGAGAACATCACCTCGGCTAAAGAGAACAATTAGCGGATTTTAAAAAAATATTCATATTGTGTGTCGTTTGCTGTCAACACAGAGCCGTCACAATGTTCAACAACATTTAGAGCAAAACAATGCAAGAACGTCTAGAAGTGTGTGTTCGTGTGTGCAGAGAGGATGACAGTTTACTCAGAGATACTCTGGATCTACGCTGTTTTGAAAAGGAGTTATGGACTCTTTAGTTCTGTTTGTGGTTGTGTACATCCAGGTCAGGTCTCAATAGAAAACAGAAAAACAGGGGAGGGGTCAAAAGAGCTTCAGCCTAGAAACACTGAATGTCTACATATTTCAGCACAGCTCAAGAATACTGATTTTTTTTTCAACAATTAAAAAACAGAGATAAGGTCAGATATTTAGTTACCACAATACAATATCAACTTTTGCAATCTGGAAGGAAAATTCTGGTGCCAGGTTGCTTCAAAAACACAAAGTGCAAAAGTTACACAATAGACTATCAAATACACATAAAATACCAAAAATACAAAAATAAAACACAGTGTTTTATAACTTATTAAATGGATATGGGTTACATTTCTTAGAAACGGTGCCTTTAATAGGAGAGATAGAAGTACAACAGTATTGGCATTATAGACAGTAGTGTGTTCAGACACTGACTGATGCTCTGTTCTGCTCATACTGAACCTGATACCTGATGAACGACTGTATCAAATGTTAGTGAAGGAATATTGCACATGGTAATGACCATGTTAAAGCCCAACATGGACGAATAAAACTGCACATGATAATCAAACATTCAAAACTTGATATATTCCAGCATCAAGGAGGAAAAGTTTGTACATGAAAAGTCAATTTTTCCTGCTGCCGAAAGTTGGAGGTGTGTCAAGTTTGAATGCGAAAAAATCCCACCAAAACTATGAGCTAGAGTGAGTTTGTGTGTGTGTGTGTGTGTGTGTGTGTGTGTGTGTGTGTGTGTGTGTGTGTGTGTGAGTTTGTTTGTGTGTGTGTGTGTGTGTGTGTACCTGCTGATGTTGTGGTACTCAGGTGCATGTAGAGCTCGCTGCAGCTGAGTGCGCAGTCTCAGGCCGTGTGTGTCT